ATGCTGTTACAGGTGGCAGCAGGTCACAGCCAGGCAGCTGCCCCCACTGCCAGACTGCTGCAGTGGGTAGAGGATGCAGGAGCCACTCTACATTAGGGCTGCTTCAGCAGTCCAGCTGGCACAAGGAGTAGTGTCCCCAGATGCAAATTGGCTGGGCCTCAGAAGCTCCTGAGGGCAAGTAGCACTGAGCTGCTCACCAGGGCAGTTTTTTATACTGCTGGGGTCAGCACAGGTGCTCACCCCTCTAGCTTCCCCTGGCTGCAGATCCGGGAGGAGTTGTGCAAGGTCAGTTTGCCCCAAATGGCACAATTTTCTCCACACCAAAGTGTATGTTCAGGCACATTTGCTAAGGCACAAATTTGTGCCACTGCTATCTGAGCTGCTGCAAGCACACATGCCTGCATGTGGAGCACACACCCTGAGGTGCCAAAATAAGAGGATGATTAAACAAGAAAACAGCTGAGATTTGATAGTTTAAAATGAAGTAACAACTCGTAAATGCCAGCTTTGAAAGATGGTCATTGTGTTTTCATACTACAAATGTGGAAAACAACTAATCTTTTAATATTTCCCTTAGAATTTCCGTTTGATTGAAAATGAGGTCGTCTTTGTCGGAAAACAAGGCAAATAGAGTGGAATGGAGGGAGTCATGATATTTAATAGTGTTATTTTCAAAATGCTGATTTTTCCATTCATAACAAAATGAAAAGAGATGTGTCACATACTTTTAGTTTTGTTGAGCATTGTTTGGGTTCACTGCATTTAAATCCAGGTTATCTGCTGAGGTAAAAAACTAATACAATAGCCATCGGCCCAAATAACCCATTCAAATACTTGCTTTCAAATTCACATGAGGAGGACTTACAGCCTCTAACAGATTTTTGTCATGAAAGGAATTCTGTAGCATATTGTCCAAGTGTATGAGAGCAGATAGCTATAGAGGTCTCTTAGATCTACCTTGATATAGACTCCCTCAATTTCTTTTGATAGTTTGGGGACTGGGTTGGCATTTCCATATTGTAAGAGGTAATGAGTGAAACTGAACAAAAATTACTCATGTGTTAGATTTACTTTTAGCTCACTAAAGCAAAAAGAATACAAGCTAGTACTAGAATATCACCATCACTTTTACCTAGAAATGTGTGGGGAAAATAGATTTTTTTTTATTCATATATTAGTTCTGAAGGGGTCTTTTTTTTAATTGTTTTAGGTAAAAAGCCTAGAATCAATAGCCAGGCAAGGTTCTTTGTATAGATGTGATATATTTATGTCTGACTAAATAGTTGAAAAAAAGTTCTTTGCAAGTTTTTGGGACCAACACCCTTCTTCAGGCATTGGAAAATGGTTGCTGTTCTGAGTTCTCCAAGGTAGAAAAAGTATAGGTTGTAGCCGTGTTGGTCTAAGGACATAAGCAGACAAGGTTGTTTGGGTAAATCTGATATCTTTTATTAGATCAGTTCAAATAGTTGGTAAAAATACTTCTTTGCAAGCTTTCAAGCACAAACACTCTTCGTCAGGCTGAGACGAGGATACTATACTTTAAACCAATGGTTCTCAACTGGGGTGTAACAGCACCCTAGGGTGCCATGAGAGCCCCTTCACTGGTGCCGTGGCAGCAGTGGCCAGGTATAACTACCTCATGCAGCATTATGGCTCTTATCTGCCTTTAGTAGGTAGCAGCTGCCTTTTACTGAGTAGCCCGTCTGGGTCTGCACTCCACCCCTCCTCCAACACTCCTGAAAACAGAGGCAGGTGGTTGGAACTGTCCAGCACACCTCTGTTTCCAGGAGGCCCATGGGGAAAGAAGGCCAGACTCAGGACTATATGTGCACCTGAGGGTCTTGAAAGAGCTGGCAGACATCATTGCATCCCCCTTGGCAGGGATATCTGAAAAATCGTGGTGCTTGGACAAGATCCCGGATGACTGGAAAAGAGCCAACGTGGTCCCTATCTACAAGAAAGGAGGGAGGGATGACCCAGGGAACTATAGATCAATCAGTCTGATGTCCATCCCTGGAAAAATCCTGGAGAAAATTGTCAAGGGATCCATCAACACCAGACTAATGGAAGGCAAGCTTCTGAATGCCAGCCAACATGGCTTTGTGACTGGCAGGTCTTGTCTGAACAACCTCATCTCCTATGACCAGGTAACATGTGCCCTGGACAAGGGAGATGACGTGGACGTCATATATCTGGACTTCAAGAAGGCCTTTGACCTAGTTCCACATGATGTCCTCATGGTTAAGCTGGGGAACTGTGGCCTTGATCATCACATGGTCCAACGGCTAGGAAACTGGCTATAGGGTCAGACCCAAAGCGTACTAGTTGAAGGGAGCAAATCAACGTGGTGCAAGGTTACCAGTGGAGTCCCTCAGGGCTCAGTACTCGGGCCAGTACTCTTTAACATTTTCATCAATGATCTGGATTCAGGAGTCAGATGTGAACTGGCCAAGTTCGTGGATGATACCAAATTATGGGGGAGGGCGGTCACGCTGCAGGACAGGCTGGGGATACAGGCTGACTTGGACACACTCTCAAGCAGGCCGACCGAAACCTGATGGCCTTCAATGCAGAAAAGTGCAAGGTGCTGCACCTCAGTAGGAAGAACCCCCAGCATACTTACAGGCTTGGTAGTGCTACACTCACTAGCACCACGACCGAAAGGGATTTGGGAGGTCTTGATAGACTACAAGATGAATATAAGCTACCAATGTAATGCTGTGGCTGGCAAAGCAAACCAAACTCTGGCATGCATCCACCAATGCATCTCAAGCAAAACCAGGGAAGACATCCTCCTGCTTTACTTCGACCTGGTGAGACCACAGCTGGAGTACTGCATCCAGTATTGGGCCCCCCACTTCAGGAAGGATGTGGAGAGAGTCCAGAGGAGAGCCACTCATATGATCCAAGGCCTCCTCATATGAGGAGAGACTGAGGAACTTGGGACTCTTCAGTTTGGAGAAGAGAAGGCTCAGGTGGGACTTGGTGGCAACCTACAATTATATAACAGGGGTACATCAGGAGCTGGGAGAACAGCTGTTCACCAGAGCTCCCCAAGGGATAACAAGGTCTAACGGCCATAAACTCCAGGAAGGCTGATTTAGACTACACATAAGAAAAAAGTTCTTCACAGTGTGTGTCCAGGGTCTGGAACAAACTCCCCCCAGAGGTGGTGCAAGCACCTAAAAACAGGTGGATATATTTCTTGCTGGGGTCACTTGATCCCAGCTGACTTCCCACCCATGGGGGGGAGGGGCTGGACCCAATGATCTCATGAGGTCCCTTCTAGCCCCTAATGTCTATTAAATCTATATAGCATGAAGCAGCTCCTGCCTGCTTTAGGCTGATCAGAGTCCTAACACGTGTCACAGCCCTCCTAAGGCACAGGTACCTGTATGCAGCAGAACCAGTTACAAATCACCAACGGTGCCTCTCAGCTGGGGAGTCCACTGCATCAGAGAAGTGCTGGAGGGGTGCCCTACCCCTGAAAAGGTTGAGAACCACTGCTTAAAACTAAGACTTACACCCAAAATCTTTTTTTTTTTTAAGGGATTTTTTA